TGTTAAAAGAGTTTTGCCATTGTTCTATTAATAAAGGGTCTTTATTGTGTAAATTTAAAGAATTCCTATTTTAGCTTTTAATCATTGTTTAAGCCACAACTGACGAGTTATTTTGCTAGTTTTTTTAATAGTGTCATTGAATAAATCATCATTTAGAATAGTCTTGCTGAATTTCCAATATTCATATCTACAACTATCCTGGGTATAGTATTTCATTTCAAAATTATTTGTTTATGGCCCAAAAAAAAGACCAACGAATATTTAACTTCTTTCACAAATTGAAGGGTATAAAAATGATTTGAAATTATACAATTCTTGATTTTAAAGTTAATCTCCTATTACACCAAGTAAATTATTTTGTACCAGGGTTGAAGAAAAGGTTGGAGAAGAGCAATGAAACAAGGTTATTGTTCTGTGAATAAATAATGACCATATTTTATGTTCATGGCCTGTAAGAAAGTTAAGTTAAATATGAGTTGCTTTCTCTCAAAGACAGAAACCAGAGAGCTTAGTCTGAAACTTGTGCTGTCATGAAGATTTAAGTCTTGAGCTGTTCAATAGACAATGCATGGGAGACCGACTTTGTTATTTCTCTTAATATACCAAAATGTTTTGTTTTTGCAGTTGTGAGAGTTGTTCATGTTTACGAAAATCTTTTGGAATGTCTTAGTCTATAAAAATAAAAAAATTTAATTTTTGTTTTTTTCCAAATGGGCGTAGTTTCACTTTAAAACATGAGGGTGCAGTTTGTTTTTACCAGCAGCAGGGGACAGACCTGCACTATCCAACCATGTAATGCACACACACACACACACACACAGTACAGTTAAGAGGACTGCCGTTTGAGGCTGCAGAAGTATCTGATGCTCTCCGTTGGCAGACGATGATGCTGTAACGTGTCTAATTCTGTCTAATAAGCCCGTTCTCTTCCTGCCGTCTTACAGTCTAAGTGACAGTGTGGGTCAATAAAGATGTCATGAGGAGGTAAAACCAACCTTGTGTCAGACTGATCTTTAAACCACCAGCGAGAGGACACGATGGCAGGGGTCACACACACACACACACACACACACACACACACACATTCCCTGCCATGTTCTGTATTCAAGCCATGTGTGTGTGAACAGGACTCTAGAGGGGCTGAAAGTCATGCAGCCCCTCCCCCCTCTCTCTAACAGGCTCTGACTCAGTGAAGCAGGACTTTTTTTTTTTTACAATTCGTCCCGACAAGCTTACTTAACCACCTGCATTATTTAACAGTCTTTCCTCAAATGGGAGCTCCAACTGATGAACGAATGCCCAGTGAGATACAGCCAGGCAGAAGTCAGTAAAGGGGACCGATACGCACTTAAACGGCAATAAGGGCTTAAGATTCATGGTGAGGTTTTTAGGAATCAAGGTCAAGTGATGGCTGAGAGCAGCAAAATATGAGGTTTATTCACAGCAAAACTCACTGTTTGACAGGCCCGTATTAAACTAACTGTTTTTTCTTTTATTTTTTGCTGGTATATTTTTATTGACGCAATAAATTGTATACGATTTCTTCCAACAGCACACTGGTGAAAACCTGTTGAAAGGAAGCACGTATCTAAAATGCAGTCTCTTTCTGCACGTGTGCGGATATCTATTCCACCAGAAAAATATTCCTAGTGAATTTAAATGTTCATTTCCTGAATGTATTTCCTATTTAATGTACAGAGATGAAAAAAAAGAGGAAAATGTGAATATGAAAAATGTGTAGGATTGAAACATAGGAATGAATAGTTTGACAATTTAGAAAATAAGCCTAATTTTCTCACGGAGAGTTTGATGAGAATATTGAGATCACTCTCATATCCGTCTGTATTTTTGTATTCAAACCCGTCAGTTGGTATCGCGCTGGTTCCCTCGACAAAAAGCCTGAAACCTAAAAAGAAAAGGGGTCCGAAAACCCAGAAATGAGTCAGCATTTCTGGGTTTCCGGTTTCCGTGTCTCGAGGTCAATGGGTTTTTTAAATGGCTTTTTGGATAGATGCCTGAAATAACAGACATAAAATGCTTCAGTAAATACTCTTGTGAATTTTGAAGCTTTTTATGAGTCTTTAAAAAGGTTGCAAACAAGTGGCTAACAGCCTCGTGTTTGTACTCGTGCTCATGTAGTTCTTTTTTATAGCCCAACGTTAGCATTTTAGTTCTAACGATTGCATTCACGCTTCAAAAGTCATAAAAGTGGCGTTTGTTTGTGAAGATTAACTTGTTAAGCAAAACATGCAAGTATCATAAACTTGAGCATATTTCTGGAAGCATCCCATCGGCTTCATGACGAGAGAACCAGCGCGATGATAACTTCGGGGCTGGCCTACAAAAAACAACGCCATCCCTGCAGTGCTCTGTTGAGGCAAACATACAGAGCCACATGATGAACACCCTGCTCACTTTAAACATGAAGGCAGACTGTGGATGGAAGTTTCAAGCTCTCACTCAGCAGCAAAATCTCATGTAAACAGACTTTGCAGCGGTCAAAGAGGGTATGCGGCGGTTATGTCTTGCACACAAACAACTTCACTGCTGTTTGCTCGGTGGTGGTGTTGTTCAGCTGAGACGAGCACTGCGGTAAAAACTGGCTCAGCATCGAGCAAACCTTCAAGCAAACTAATCCATAGCTCTGGTTTTCCAAGACGATTAATCTACGCTGGCTGCAAATCGATGCCATTCTTAATTCACATATCCAATGAATTGCATAATGTGGCCTGCCAGCGGCCGCGGTTAATGCATTGGAGCGGTTGGATGGAGAAGTGGTGACATTAATTTTGCATTGTTCCTCCCTCTAGATGTTCAGATAACAGCAGTGAGTGCAGGCTGAGAGAGAAGCAGCTCGATCAAGGGGTCTTTAAAGACTTGGATAGGGAATACAGCTGAGCTTAGAAGTATGTGTGTGTGTCTCTGTATGTCCTTGTCTTCATGTTCTTGTCTTTGACGTCCACGCCACATCACACAGACACCAGCGCTTCTTGCCGTCCAAGGCTAGAAGAGAGAACAGACGTGTTTGCATCATTAGGCTCCGTCAGCCTCCTCTGACAATCTACTGAGTCATCATCTGCCGCTACCCCATTCATTATAAAGCAATATGTAAAAATATGACCATTTTATTTGACATAGATTAGCTCATGTGTGCGTGTGTGTGTGCGCAGCGCCCAAGTTTGTGAACACCTGCGGTTGTGTGAACATCGTCTAATTTATGCTTTCGGTTCCACAGGATGCCCAGGTGTGTGTGTGTATGTGTGTGTGTTAGGGGATGCAATATTGACGCACGGCAGCTGCTGATCCAGCCTCTTAGACCAGTCTTGAGTTTGAAAACTTGGTGCCACATCAATCCCAATCTCACCTTGTCACGCCCCATATGCTGGAGGCCATCTTTGGCCACCCACACCCTTCATTAGCATTCACAGAGAAAAGCATCCACCAAAAACTAAAGTGAGCCGATGTATTGGGCCGATTCAGGTCTTCCATAATGATCAGATGCGGGCCAGCATGAAGGGACTATTTGATGGATGTGATTCAGTTTGATTGCACATTTAACTCAAAAGGTTCACAGCTGTTCCTGGAGCCGGTACGATGGGAAGGTATTAAACTGGACCAAAGTGGGAAATTTTAATTTTGCAGTTTGATTGGATTCAATATAAGTATGCACATGTTCATGATCCCATCACAGTTGTCCCAAAGGCTGGATT